CCCTCCTAGCATGCAAACATCTTTCCCATGTTATGTTGCTACTTAACTTATGTTTATCACTTTAACGAACATATAGCCATTGGAATGTAAACAAAAAACCCATTACAATCACTAACTTCATTTCATAGCTTCAGTGGCAATAAATAATTTAAGAACACTTCGCTATTCAACAAACCAGCATGATGTATAACCCGGTTTTTTTCCAAAATCCGGTGCCATGGACCAGTTCTGTTAATGGCCAGATATGCAGCATGAACAATCTTTTATTGTTCTTATATGAATTTTAAAAGTTACATAATAACATCTAATTGTAATTCTAATTTATTTAAATAACATTAGTTCAAGTAGACCTATTCTAGGTCTATAACCTATGGTATTACTGTATGTGTATTACGATTATGTTATGGAAAACAAAAGAGGCAGACTTGAATTATGAAATAAGATAATTTGTTTTCTAGCATTATATGCCCTTAAATTAAGTTGCATGTTGAAATATCGGCGTCAATCACTTGTCATTTACCATACGATTCTATGTAGTCTAGGGTAAGGCATTCAGATGTACCGCGCGAGGCTGCAGGTTTGAATCCTGCCAAAGATTTTTTTCAATGCAACTTTAAAAAAAGAGGAACTTTTTGATGAATTCGTCGCTCACATCATGAACTAACACAATCAAAGTAGATTGTGTTAGTTCGTGAAATCACAGTAGCGTGTCAAAACGAGCGCGTATTGGTTGTCAAGCAATTTTGTATTCTTTATCATACAAAAAGTCCTTAACGACAACAGCGTGCATTTTAACGCGATTTTTTGTTTTCGCGAACTAACACAATTGAATTTAATTGTGTTAGTTCGTGATGTGAGCGACGAATTAATAGGGAGGTTTCGAAACCTTACGAAAGCGATAACGAAAACCACTACGTCATCATTTTTTGAACTTTTAAGATTATCCCCAATTATATTGGTCACAGAAATTCTCGTCATACACTCTAGACATCGTTCCAACTCACCCAATCTGCAGTGTCTCCGCGTTGCTAATACAACGGTCACTCCATCACCTGATCCCACAAAAGATCAAGACTTAACCGATGCTAACCGGAGTACATAAACACAGATCTCCGGTTGGCGGTGATGGTGTAATCCCATACTTCGGTTTGGGTGCTAGCTTGGTGTTTTTTTGTTTTTTTACTCGGCTTTTTTCTTTGTGTTCTTGACTTCATTATTGTCTAGCGCATAGAGACCTCGTTTATTTGCGCTATATAAATCCATCTATTATTATTATTATTATTATTATTACAGAGCACTGGTTTTTCACAACAATCATCGACTATACTCGTAGTTTGATAACGAATATAGTTTTGAAATTATTTATCAACTTACGTTACTTGAAACTGTGAAAACATACAAACATTTTAATAAGGTTATTGATGAATAAAAAGTGAATTGACTTGAATGCATTATTGCTGTATTGACATTAAAATATGAGAAAGTTTACAGTACAGTGTGTTGACAAATAATTCAGCGTCACACTCGCGCGAGCGTCCAGCGACTTTGTTAAAAATGTTATATTTTTCAACGCAATCGATCATCATTTAAATTGGTGGAACATTCAGCATGGGGTACGAATGACTTTAGCAGTATGAGGTAGGCAAAGTCAATTCAAGTCTCCTGAATAAATAAATACAATTTTTTGTGTGGATTTTAAAATTCAAAATGGAAGTTTATGTCCTAACTTAGCCTATTTATCTAGGCCCAGCCTACCATAGGCTAGGCCTAGCATAGGCTAGGCTAGCTAGTTCAAATCGAGGGATAAAATAACACGTTTTATTTGGTTTATATATTTTTCTTTTGGTTGAGAAGCTGATGGACTATCGTCACCTATGCCTAGTAGTAGGCTCCTTGCAAGAATTAACTTTCAAGATGTTGATTTTTTGTTTCGATATTCATGTATACTGTATTCGTCAGTGTCGTGTATGCGAAACAAGATTTTTCTAGTTCGCGGTAACAAGAATGAAAATGTGACGTAGTGGTTTTCGTTAACTTTTTCGTAAGGTTGCGAAACCTCACCAACTTGTGTGTATAGACCATTTTCGCGAAATTTGAAATGAAAATTTCTGATAACAAGGCAACTACCAATGGGGGCCTTCCAGAGGCCTAGCATTTCATTCTACGTAGTTACCATCATGAATTAACTAAACGATTAAACTAAATTACTAACGAGCACAAAATATTTTAGAATATCAAAAACAAGTGCAAGTCTTAAAAAGCTCTTTCAATGATGTTTACATACAGTAATTAGTAAAACATTGTGTTTCTGTTTTGTTCTGCTGCTGCATAGTTCTAGTGGAGCGATCCGATGTGTGGTGCTCTGTCTGTGATCAGCCAGCTGCTACGGCTAGGCCGCTGGAAGTCCCCCAGTGAGTTGCGAGACTTTGGTGGCGCTGTTCCAAAAAAATCTGATAAAATGGTATATATATGTGACCCGATCTGGCAAAACCATAGAGATATAATAAGAATACTAGAGCGCTAACAGCAATGTATTCGATTTTCACGCTAGCCTTAGCATGTATTTACATGCTTCATTTTGAGCGTGCTTCGTACGCTTGTCGAAAAAATTTTGTAGGGAATGTTTGAATACTGTTTTCTCAGAAACCACTCAGACTGATTTGGCTGATTTGCAAGTAGACGTATTCCCATAACTTCTCAATTTTCATCCAATTTCATTAAACTAAATCGCTTGCTGGATAAACTGGACTCTCCATCTAGCGATAGGCGCAGGTCGCCAGCACGGCGTAAATCTCCGGAGAGATCGACGGCGTGCTACAACTGCCACGAGGAGGGTCACTTCTCTTGGGAGTGCCCCAAACGTCTCAACCAGCCCAGATCAGAAAATAAAGTCCGTCTGGTTGGTCCAGAAAGTGAAGATGAGGAAGCTATTCCTTTAAACAAATAAATGGCTGGCTCCAGCCTTCCACCGATAGGGTGTTCCTCAGGTAACTCCTTAGTAGTGCAGCGGGTGAAGTCCGACTCTCTGTTACACACCTGTCTCTTATACACATCTAGATGTGTATAAGAGACAGCTCAAAGGGTTTGTGGTTCTGTTTCCAACCAGAAAGGAATAATTAATGTTTCACAACCACATTGGAATGTAAACAAAAAACCCATTACAATCACTCACTTCATCTCATGGGCTTCAGTGGCATTAAATAATTTAAGAACCCATTGCTATTCAACAAACCGGCAGGATTTATAACCCGGGTTTTCCCAAAAACCGGGTGCCATGGACCAATTCTGTTAGCCAAAAATGCAGCATAAAACTCAATTTAGAAAATTTTCGACAAAAGTAGGGTTTTGCCAGATCGGGTCACATATATATACACACAGCATTGTCGTTTTGTGGGTGCTGCAGCAGTTCAAAGTTTCTTGTACTACGAAAAAAGAATATTAATTAATTATTTATTAGGCCTATTTTTATTAATAATTATTTAATTTATATTTTCCTACAGTATTTTAAATGTTGTTTGGACTGAAAATTAAATTCAAGGTCTTCAAACATTTTTCTTGTGAGTCTATCTATTATGATTAAAAAATCAGTGATAAAAATATTTGGGACCAATTTTTTTTCTCTCCCAGAAGCATATACAGTAATTCAAAATTTTTTCTTGATAATTTCTTTTGTCTTGCTGATGAATGATATATTTGAAAATTGAAAGCTTACCTTAGGGTACATTCGCCGCATTTTATCATATAGCTGCTGAAACTGAAATTCATGCAGCTCTGCATTAGCAGCATATACTTTCCGAGCCTACAATAAAATAATGACAGATTGTATTGTGAAAGTGAAAGTATTTGTTTAGTGTTCACATCATTTATATAAAGCAAGGGTTAATTGGCAACAGGAATATTTTTACAATTAAAGTTGTATTGCATTATTTCAGATAATTGTATTCATAGAACATAAATATTGTACAAACATAATAAATTTTACTGTGGGTATAAATAAATTAGATCATTGCGCCCTTACAACCAAAAGCTACAGATCTACCTTAATTTCTTAAAATAAATAAATTAGTCGGAACCATCTTTGATGAATTACATTTATTTATATATTCTTTCTTTATCCTGCAGGCACTTTCAGTACTCATGTACTGCTTTTTCAAAGTGGTACAGTTACAAAAAAAAAACAAAAGAAAAATTAAATAATATCTTAAAGAAAAGATACAATGTAAATGTTACAAATTAATAGTATTTTATTGTTTGAAGGTTTATACGTCAAAGTAACAATAATAAATGTTTGCGGTACACCACATGGGTAGTTCTGAAAAAAAAACTATTGTTGAAAGTTGCTTCAATGGTTTTCAGGAGATTTGATGTCTAATCTCCTGAAGACGATTGAAACAACTTAATATTCCAAGACGGTACCATCAAATTATTATGAGTTTTGGCTACAAGTGCATTTCGAATAGAGACTGTTGCTGTATATATATTTTGATGATAAATATGGACGTGCACTTCCTTTTAAACATTTAAACGTCATTAGAATTAACTGTTCGTTCCATCTTTACATTGGGTCTTTTCCAGACAAGAGAACTTAAGATAAAATCAACGGAAGTCTTAATATCTACTGAAAGCAACATCCGACCTAACATATTCATAAGAACTTGTAATATTCATAAAATTTGTAATATTATAATTTGACCATGCACAACATCAGTAATCAAAAAGAGGGAGTAAGTTGATGTAAAGAACAATTGAAAAACAACACATTACAGCTAGCATAAATTCTGCCTATAAAGCTATAAATAGAATTTCTTCAATATTCCTAAAATGAAGGTACGCTGTTAGTTACTAACAGCATACTTTTGCCATTGTTGTTCCATCAAGACTATCACAAATTTTATGGCCTAAATATATTATTGAATCAGCAAATTCAAGAGCAACACCTTTTAGCCTTACGCAAGGCATACCTTGCAAGTTCCGTGTATGTGGACATACAGATTTAACATTACACTAAGATATAGTATAAGAAGAATACATTAATATAGTTTAATGATAGAAACTCACTTCTTTTTTCGGCACGCGACCTTCCATTATTTGGGCCCCAAACAGAGCCCAAATGGAGGTCATCAACTTCTCATTTTCATCAAATTTGGATTTTGGCCCATATTTTGAAGGTTTTGGCTGTAAATATAATTTATTGAAAATATAAGTACATAATGGGATAACCGTGATTTTGAAGTACATTTGTCCTATTTTTGTTTGCTTCATTTTGGTTAATCTATTATTATTATTTAAAAATATAAAAGTAAGAGAATGTATATGTGATAAATAAAAGTAGTTAAAAACCAAATGTACTGACAAAAAAATTAGACAAGTGGAATGACAACAGTAGTTCATATTCCATGGAATACTTACAGTTTGGGGTTGGGGTGGTGGTGGGGGAACTTTGTCATTCAGAGCCTAGCAAAAAAAAAGTATTCATTAATCTTCACATACTGTAATACAAGTTTAGATGATTTAATGCCTTATTTTCATTTGCTTCAGTTTAGTTAAGACATGATTGTTTACGATTATAAAAGTAAGAGAATGTATAAGTGATAAATAAAAGTAGTTAAAAACCACATGTACTGACATAAAAGGATTAGACATATATATAGTAAAGTAACATTCTACAATCTACAAAAAATAATGAAAATGAATGATTAGCATGCATAGTAACATTATAAAAAGGTACTATAGGCAAAATGGTATTTAAAATATGATAGTGATTTCAGAATTTGCTCCATCAGGATTTGAACTGAGACCGCCGACATTCCCTGCCGATGCTCTAGCCGCTGAGCTATGGTAGCATTCTGTGAATCACAAATAGATAAATGATTAGGGTGTGCCATAACATTGGACAACACTAACAGATTGAGTGATTGATTAGGTTGCATGGTACAGTCGGGGCACATATTAAAGTAGCATTCTACAAACTACAAAAAGAAATAAAGTGATTAGCGTGCATGATTGAGTCACATTCTACAAACTACAAAACAGAGTTAGTTGTTAGGATGCATGGTACAGTAGCATTCTACAAACTACAAAAACAAATTGAGTGGTTAGGGTGCATGGTACAGTCACATTCTACAAACTACAAAACAGATTGAGTGGTTGGGGCACATGGTATATTGATGGGTAAACTAAAGCAATGCAGATAGTGCTTTGCTTAAGGACACCAGCGAAATACACAGCAAAGGATTAAAACCCTGACTTCTAGGTTTAGAAACCAACCCATTTATACTGTGAAAAACTGCCTCCTGCATGGTACAGTAGCATTCTGTAAACAAACTAATTGTAAAAAAGAAGATTGGATGTTATTGTAAAATATGATATTAAGAAAAGTAATTTCTACAAACTACAAAAATAGGAAAGTGGTGGGTTCATGCATGGTACTGTAACATTTACATGAGCTTACAGAATAACCTAGATTATAAATTTTAAATATAACTCAAATTCTTACTTTTTTAAAATTTCTGGATCTAAAATGTTGTTTAGTGATCCGCTTCCTACGTCTTGTCCGTAAATTTTCCATATGTGCGTAATCTCCGACCGTACCTGATTAACATGCTTTTTAGGCATGTTTAGAGTATCCTCTAAATACTTTGCAAACTTAGACATCAAAACATCTGTAAAGTAATAATCAATTAAAATAATGGAATAGGATCAGATATATAAAGGTCTTTTGAATAATCTGACAAGACAATACACATTTCAAGCGCCCTGAGCATCTTACATCTTAGATGGATTTGTGTGCTATATAAAACTACGCTATTATTATTATTATTTCATCATAGTATATAAAACACTAAAAGTTTTAGTACAGTACTTTAAAGACATGATTACATAAATTTTACTCAATAAGATTTTACATAACTATTAAAATAAAACCTAAAAGTATAGCATAACACTCAGTGATTTGGGGCACGTTTACGAACTTTCTATAACTACAAACTTTCAAGCCTGAGGTGATAATTAATCATTCCTCAACTAGCTATAATTACTAAAACATTTGGACTTTCCGGACTTATCCTTTCCGGATAAGTTTGGAGGGTTGGAGGCTGCCTCCAACCCTCCAGATTAAGCACTTGAGTCCGCAATTTCTTTTCATCCATGCCTTCGTCCAGTGACATGGCCAGAGTAGTCCTCACTTAATAAATTATATTATCCAATTTTTAAGCCGAAATATTATTTTTACGATATACCCCTATACAATGGCTGCAGCTGAACAGAGTGGGTGGACTGACGAAGCAACCCAAACGTTAATTAGCATATGGGGAACGACATCCATACAAGATGGTTTTGATGGAACCCGACGGAACAATGCCGTTTATAAAGAAATCGCACAGAAGATGCGGGAAATGGGTTATAACTTTACACACGCACAGATAGAATACCAAATGCAAGAACCTGCGCAAAAAAAAACAAAAAAACAGGAAAAGGACTCCAATGGGAAGTCACGAAACCCCCCCTCCCCGCAAAAGAATGGCCGTATTTTGAGATGATGAATGAAATTTTTGGCCAGTGGAACTAGTAGTACAGTGTAGTAGTAAGTCCCTAGACTATTTTTTTTCCCTCTGTTTTTTTTTTTTCTTTTTGTAGTTTTCCCAGTTGGCTATGCTCTAGTTTCTAACGCCTAGGTTTTTTTAGAATTGGTTGGAGTTCGAGCGTAGGCAAGACGAGGCAATTCGTTGTTGAATTGCCTTGTTGGGCTGAGGAAGGCTAATCGGTGAAGTGTTTGTTTTGTTTACCTTATACCTTACTGTCCATATCCGAATAACTTGGGGTTCGTAAACGAGCGATCTAATGACCTACCCTCTGGGCATTATGTCATTTTTTTACTTATTCGGTTTCATTGAAAGTTCGTAAACACAACCTTACACAAGTGCAACTGGTTAGATTACAATCTGTTAAAAATTAAGAGTGTGTAGACAATGCAAGTAATTTAGTTATGAGCATATGGATTTAATTGTTTTATTTTATCTAAAAAATATAGTTAATGTTCCGAAAACTAAATTATATTAAGTACTTATTAAATAATTATCTTAAATTATTAGAATCCATTACTGTACATGGACAGCATATATTGAAATTATCACTGTTGTCAATATTTAAGATTTACCATCATTTTTCTTCAACTTTTCAACTTGATTGTACTTTTTATATTCGTCACTGTGAACCTACAAAACAAATTAAAAACAAGGAGTTAAATATATATCATCATAAATCATGATTATGATTAAGTTACTTTAGTTTAAAAAATAGGGAAGAATAGAAATTAAAAATGAAAAAAAAAAATGAAAGCAAGAAAATAATAGGGCACAGTAATAATAATCAGATAATGAATTAAGATTTTTGTAAATGGATTTCATTTATAAATATTTAGGGGTGTTTATTGACCAAAATGTGCTAAAAAATTTCCTGTTGCATTTCTGCCATAAAAGAGCAAAAGATTATGTCCCAAAAGATTGCCTTACTGTATTTTATGCAACTGTTTTTCCTTGCTTTGAATACTGCAGTCTTGTTTGTGGTAATTTTGAAAAAACCATAAGTGAAAAAAATGCAAAGGTTCCAAAATAGATCAGCACATGTTTGTACTGGTGCAAATTGCAATACTCCAAATAGAACAATATTTTCAGATTTGGGTTGGGATAAATTGTTGCACTGGAAGGACAAAGCCACTACTATATTTATGTGTAAAGCTTTAAACTTGCTTGCTCTTCCATATATAGAAACTATGTTTGCCTATAAACTAACCTCTATGTAGTATTAATTTATGAAAGTGAAAAAGAACTTAAAATTCCAAAGCTAAATAACAATACTGAAAATAGGAGCATTAAAAATGGGAGCATTCTTTGGTCGATATAATTTCACAAACTCTCTCCATGGATTCACCAAATGATTTTATTACCACAGGATACAATTTAACCAACTCCACAAAAATTATAACGCGTGCACCTGGTACACTCTGTGAGAAATGTCAGTGATTTGAATTCATTTAGCACACATTGTTTGATTTTACTGATTTCTTGTTGAAATTCTAAAACGTCCAGATTTTTTGGTGTTTTTGACATCGGAAATCGAGACGATCCCAATTAAATTGGAATGGTTGGCAGGTCTGGCATTGTTTTAACACAGGCGTTGAGCTCGTCAACTTCCAAAAGATCTGTGTATTTTTAAAAGTGATTACTAGTACAAGGTAAAAATTATTCTAGCTATACAACAGTTATAATGATTTAAATATTGAATTAAAATCTTTATAATTTAAACTGATTTGAAAAGAACTGCTGTAGTTGAAAAAGTTTCGATTGAGTTGCTTTAATCATCTTCAGGACAATAATTCTCCTGAAGACGATTGAAGCAAACTCCAACAATACTTTATCTGATTTGTAATAACGCTTATTTCATTCTTAACAAAGTGATATTATCTGTAAGGTAACTTACAGCAAATTGGTGTTTCCTTTTCAAGTGCATGTCCAGGCGTGCCAGGCCCATCGCCCGGCAACCTGGCACTAGGCAATTTTTTCTTTTTCTGTTTTTCTTTTCATTTTGATTGATGAATCTATGAACAATTGACATAAGTAATGGTATTATTTTATAACACAAAAATATAAAATATTAATAAATGACAAATAGTTTAAGAGATTCAACTGACAGATTGAAAAATTAGATGCATGCATGCGGAATATGTACAAATTACAAAACAGAATCAGTCAGATTAGTGCAAATTATTAACTACAAAACATACTGAGTGATTTGGATGGACGATAACATTCGGGGAACTACAAAACAGAATGAGTGGTTAGAGTGCATAATAATATTACACAAACTACAAAACAAACTGAGTGGTTGGATGGATGAAACTCTACAAACAACAAGACATATCGAGTGATTGAAGTAGATGATAACATGCTATAATCTACAAATGAGGGAGTGCATGGTAACACATGAAATACAAAAAAATGTAAAAGTAAGAATATTTAGTTAACGCTTCATAATCAGGCAAGACAATTTCAACATGACCACCCAATCCTCAAACCACTGACTCGGAGCTATGGTTGCATTTATGAATCACAGATTGAAATGATTAAGGTGTGTAATGACATTCTACTACAGTAAATAAAAAAGAGATTAAGTGATTAGGGTGCATGGTTCAGTAGCATTCTACAAACTACAAAACAGATTAAGTGATTAGGATGCATGGTATAGTAGCATTCTACAAACTACAAAACAGATTAAGTGATTAGGATACATGCTATAGTAACATTCTACAAACTACAAAACAGATTAAGTGATTAGGATGCATGGTATAGTAGCATTCTACAAACTATAAAACAGATGAAGTGATTAGGATGCATGGTATAGTAGCATTCTACAGACTACTAAACAGATTAAATGATTAAGGTGCATGATAAAGTAGCTTTCTACAAGCAGCAAGTGATTAGGGTGCATTGTACAGTAGCATTCTACAAACTACAAAACAAAATAAAGTGATTGAGGTGTATGGTATGTAGCAAAAAATATGGTAATTAGGGTGCATGGTACAAAAATACTGTAAGGTGATTATGGTGCAAGGGTACAGTATCATTCTGCAAGCTACAAAACAGCATGAGTAGATAACATTCTATAAATTACAAAAACAAATGGATAAAAACAAGGTAACACAATATTTGATTTTGTTGAAAAATATAAAAAAATAACTGATTTCAAAATTTCAATCAATCAGGATAGAACCCGAGATTTGTGCCAATCCATGCTGATGCTCTAGCCATTGCACTATGGTAGAATTCTATGAATCACAAATAGATTAAATGATTAGAATGAATTTACAAATTACAAAATACTTGTGTATACATGGACACTAAACATCAATCATTAGAAATTATAGTAACAAAATGTTTTTAATATTTGAACATACAGTAGGTGATTTTGTCATACACATGGATTTAGCAGTTGCCTATACCTACCTACCACACAAGGGAAATATAATTATCATCATATTCACAAAGATCATTAAGAATATATACAGTCAACAGGATTTGTTAAGAGTGAACATAATTTACATATTTAAAATTCAACATAAAAGATATACAATTAAATGTTTGAATAAAAAATTCAGTGGATAGAAACCATCTGGAAAAAGAAAAAAACATCCTTATTAACTCATATTCTTTGGTTAACAGAAGATAGGCTATATACTGTGATTTTCATTAACGACTGATAAGCAGCAAACTATATAATGAAGCGTTTGATTAACTCACCCATTCAGACCACTTAGTGTTTGAAAATAGAAAAGAATATTATTCATAAAATCTGCATTTATATAATGAATACTAGAATAATTAAAAAATGGAATACAAAATCTGAATACAAAAAATTAGATATGCATCTAAATGCAAGTATCAAAATTCTTAATCTCAGAACAATGGCATGTATATTTTTTTACTTTAAGTATACTTTAAAAAATGAAAAAAATATAAATTAAATGACTAACTTCAATCTTGCAGAGCACATGGTTTGTTGTAGGAATTCTTCATTAAGAATATGATGGACTCTTCTCAAATGCTTTGGAAGATACTTTGATTTTCGGCCACAAAGAAGGCACTCAAGAGTTCGACGATTCTTTTGACAATGGCAAAATACAAATGTATTAATGTTTATGGTGCTTCTACATTCAATAAAATATATAAAAATCAAGATAGCTGTTAACACTGTTAAATTATATATAAATCATCAAAGAAGGGTAAATACAGTGTTCGAATAAAGCACATAATAATACAGTGTAGCATAGTTCTCAACAAGTCAACGCATCTATTTTGTGTTAGAGTGTATCTGGCGGTTATTTGAACGTGCTCAGCCATAAGGCCTCTGTAGTCTAATGGATATGACGCTCGCCTTGTCAGCAAGAGGTTGCTTGTTTGAATCCTATCAGAGGCATATCATTTTAATTTATGGAATTAATATTTTTTTAAACAAACCTGTTCTTTAATCTACTGAAATATTATTCTCCTTTCTTTTTTATTACAAATGACAAATAATATCACAATAATAAATATTTAAAAAATAAAAAATAATAAACATTTTAATTGTGTCACAGCAGACAGCAAACACATTTCAAGAATATCATCAAGCTCAATACCATCTTAGCTGATTTATTAATTGAAATAATACCTCAAAGATGCATTTTTAACTATTTTATGCAATGTGGTCTTTTAAATTTATTTCATTTGGTTGTTTCTCAAGGACCCCCATTGGAAATAAGTTGTTTTTATACAAAATTCATGGGCTATCCTAGTATACCACATATGGTTTTCAACTTAATTTTAATCTTTTTCAATATTTTAAGGTATATTTTAACTTTTAAGTCATTGCTATATTTGCTTTTTTTGTAGTGATATTGTGATATACTGAATAAAGTCAAGTTCAGTTAAATATCCTACAAGATAAAGAAAGCAAATGTAATGTTTGCATACCGATTTCTTGTGTGCTCCTTTTCTTTGCCTAAAGAAGATAAAAAAAAAAAACAATACTCAGAGTTAAAATTTCTATCAATGTAAAATACATCAAACATATAAAAAACAAATAGAGTTGAAATAATTATATTTCAGCTTTTATTTTCTTTTCCGGTAAACTTCATATAAATCTACCAAAAATGAGTCAAGAAGAGGTCCACATCCAATTATTAGGCTAGAATAAGGGCCTAAAGCAAACTTATGTTTAAAACTATGTTTTCTATTGGCATGCAAGAACCTTTAAAGCCCCATTCCCAGCAAAATTTCACTAAAAATGACTTTTTTTTAGAAAATATGCATTTGCATTACTCCAATTATTATAAATCATGGAAAAATATTGGCATGAATTTTAATTTTACGAAAAAGAATTTAAAAAAATGAGAAATACAGACTATTTCTCATAAAATATTACCATTTTCTCGACGAATTCATCGTTACTAGGCAAATTCAGAGGTTGTAGATCGCATCCACTGGAATACTCTCGCTTTTATGTATACTTTATACAGTCGATAATGTGCGCCCTCTCTAATGAGATTAGTTTTTGTACTTCGCATCTCGCACAATGCGGTCGTTCGGTTAGGCTGAGATATGTTTGTTTAAGTGTCAAAATCTCAGTCAGAATCAGTTTTTTACAAATTTGAAATAATTCCTATGAAATATTATATTTCACAAGTGTCAATACTAGCAACGGGAAATATCATGTCGGCCGTTTTTATGTGTGATAACAGAACCTAAATCGAGGTAAGGCTAGGACTAGCAGCGTTGGATAGGCTAATGTTTTCGGCGCCTACGATATTTCTTCTCACGACCTATCGCAAAATCAACATGAAAAATTCATCCGCATTTATTTTTTGAGTGGAACACAAAAAATCAAATTTCAGTCTTATTTTACATTTTTTTCATTCTTAGGAATGTCTAAATTCAGTTAAACTAGCAATTCCGTATTGCATTTATAAATCTTTATAACATTATACAAAAATTAGATTTTTCTTAAAAACTGAAATTTTGCCGGGAATGGGGCTTTAACTTTTATACTATGTTTATGCCCACTTTTAAAAACATTTTTCACAGATATTTGGTATCAAACCATAGCAACTGGTTTTGTAGCCAAACAAACAGTCAGAGCAACACTAAGAGACTTACACCGATTGTTGACACAGTTGTAATCCGCATTTGGGTCAAGTTTAATTTGGCTTTGGTGCACCGTTTTCTTCATTGAAATTTGGGGTATTTTACCTACTTGCCCAACGTACAAACACAAGATCAACAAAAATAATGCATGGTGGCCTAGTACCTCTGCTGAGACTTAGAAAAATAGGAAAACTACTCTAATTTCCAAAAGGCATCTCACCATGACAGAAAAGTCAACCAAAGCCAATTTTAGACTAAATGTACCATTTTGAAGAATTAAAGGTGATGTTGGTGTTGTACAAACTGAGTGAGAAGGGAAAAATTACACCCTAAAATCTACAATTAAATTTGAATGATTATTATTTTTAAAAAAACTCTTCTTCCTCCTCTTCCCCTTGCTCACTACTTTCTCCATTACTAATAAGCATCAGAACATTAATACACCAAAACTAGACACTGATCATTTTTTTGGACATCATTACATTAAAGCACTGTAAAGAACCTGAATTGTAGGCTTTTTGATGTTAGTGTTACACAAATAAACTAAGTGAAAAGGGAAATATTACACCCTATAATTCACCATTAAAGTTGAATGATTATTATACTTACAGGTAAAGCTCCTCTCCCTCCTGCTCTTCCTCCTCCTCTCCCTCCTGCTCATCCTCTTGCTCACTACTTTCTCCATTACTAATAAGCATAAAAACATTATTAAACCAACACTAAACACTAACATTTTTTGGACATCAGAAGTACTCTAATGAACCTGAATAGTTTTAGGCTAACATTAAGAAGTCATTAATCCACCTTTTGTGCTCGGTTGCTCCTGGGGTAGTGACTTCATTTGTATTAATTCAAAACACACTGGATGGCCTGGCCTGATGCTGTCTGATAAGTCATTTATTTGAAAATATTAATTATTCCAAAAGTTTGTGTGTACTATATAATCAGTGACTTTCATGTAATATTTTGTTGCTGTACATTTAAGAAAGTTGATGTGATTTTATGCTTAAATCCAAACCTTCCCTGACAAAGGCTCAAGGTTAGTCATTTGACAATATGATGTTATTTTAGTTCTGTACAATCCTTCTATAATAATGAACCATGGAAATTTCAACAAATATAATTCCATTCTTATAGTTAAATGGAATTGAGTTATTTTATCACCAAGACGAACGAACATGAATGTCAGATCATTTGAAGCCCAAGTACAATAAATGTAACGTCAACTACTTTAAAAAATGTCGAAGAGATCCTTGACCGGGCCCATAAAGAAGGCTTCTTATGGTTTTTAAAGTGAATAATTTAAGTCATTACAGCAGTATTAATAATTTTAAACCTTTATAATTGGTATCATGATATATTTAATAATGGAGGGTTTTTTGTTTAATATTGTAATTGTAAAATTAATAATTTATCTTAATGATGATGTAAGTGTATTTTTAATCATTTGATGTTTTTTCTGTGTCTTGGATTCCATCTTGTATATTTCAAAACTTAAATTATACTTGCAATAAATATATATTGAATTGAATTTGCCCTTGCTATATTTTACTAATTTCTGATGTCCAATGACCTAATGTCTCCAAAAACTTTTCAACATGGTTGTTATAACCAGTTCTATCATGCATGCTTCTATATTTATTACTCATCAACTTCTCTTCTTATGACAGTCTTATGACCATCACACGACGAATCCAACTCTGCTCTCTGTCAGCATTAGATGATTAGACTCCGTCTGTTGTCGGTGTCAGTCTGAATGGATCACCATTAAAAAAGATCTGTTGCTCGTGCATCATTACTTTTTTTGTAGAATCATGTCAGCTGGCAACTGTCGGGCTCAGTGAGTACCCGGCTTAAGATATGATAGTAATATCTAACTTAACTTGTACCAACAAAACTCAGTAATTTAAAATAATATTTTACCATATAAAATCATTACTTTTTTTGTAGAATCATGTCAGCTGGCAACTGTCGGGCTCAGTGAGTACCTGGCTTAAGATATGATAGTAATATCTAACTTAACTTGTACCAACAAAACTCAGTAATTTAAAATAATATTTTACCATATAACTTACATTTTCTCTGTCTCTTCCTCCTCTGCTTCTTCCTCTGTCTCTTCCTCCTCTGCTTCTTCCTCTGTCTCTTCCACCTCTGCTTTTTCCTCTGTCTCTTCCTCCTCTTCTTCTTCTTCTTCTTCTTCTTTCTCATCCTCTATGTCTTCATTTCTATAAAAAAAAAAATAAACAAGTTGCCTGTAATACATACTGATGATCTTTTGACAAACTTTTAAACATAACCTAAACCAGGTACATTTTGTATGCCCCAATATTTTTTCCTTATCAACTTATCTTCCTATATCCAAGATCTGAAAACAAGTAATTTGTAATCAAATAAATGATTTATAATTACTTAAATTAATATTAATATTTTTGAAGGAAAACCAAAAGCAGACCCCTCAATAATATTTTAATTTTTAGAGGAGTAGTTATTGAAAACTTTGTTCATTCCAATTGTTGAATTTTAAATGCCACCAGTTTACATAATTAGTTTAGAACTAGCTGCTGAAACTGTGTAGGTTCCTCTTGAAATAGTGACAATGATTACGATTATCATTAGTGTTTATTACTAGCCTAGGTCGTTAGGGAAAAAGGGAGGGGATAAATGAAGCATTTCTTACAAAGTATTTTCTCAAAATGTGAATCAGTATACCTAATCTTGAATTTGCATTCTTTTAATTCAAAATACAGTTCTTTATATATTTTAAAATGTCAGGAGCTTTTGGGAATTCCCTCTAAGCCACTAGTTTTCAACAGCCGCCCCCCAACCCCACCACACTAGTCCTAACTCAGTACTACGGCTCTGGGTGGATGCTTCACCGAAGGACCCAGCAATTAATTTTGCACTGTAGTCCAGTCAATCTGTGGATTGACCTAATTTCAACAGAAATAACTTTATATTAAGTACCAATTCGAGCCATCCAGAAGTCCCTATTTTTAAAAATTTCATTAAGGATGGTGGTAAACACCCTCCATAACCCCTCCCCCGGCTCGATCGAGGCGAGCTAAAGTTATCCTTATCCCCCCTGTCAAACAGCTTTGCCTCCCCAGAGAATATATCCTACATGTAGAGCCCCCACTGCCCTGATTCTGAAGCTCTCTAAGGTCTGATAAGATGGTCATAATTCATAAATACCTCACTAATCCCTGTCACACATGATTTGTTCTACCAAAAACTAAAGTATAATTTAATACATCATAATGTTGAAAGGTAACGTAAATGTTGCACTTTATACACATCAATTTTCTAGTAGAGCGAACACCCTATTCTATGGGGAGGAGGGGGGAGTGTATCGTCTGAACCCCCATCCCACCCTGATTACTGTCCTGAATATCCAATTCTGTTATCATAACTTACAAGTCTTCCACCTCATCTTTCTTTATCTCTCTGCCCCTATAAATATTAAACAACTATTGCCTGTTAATATGATATGAATGTACACTTGGTTTTAACCAACTTTTCATCATGATCATAAACCAATATAGAACAATGTTCATTCCTGTTTTTTTTTGTTTTTTTTAAATGATTATAACCAGTTCCATCATTGTATGCTTCTACAGTATATTCATAACTTTCCTATTTTCAAAGATGTGATAGTAATATCTAACTTACAATTCCTCTGTCTCTTCCTCTTCTTTCTTCCTCATCCTCATCCTCCTCCTCATCATCTCTCTATCCCTATAAAAATTTATAAAGTATTACTTGTGAATATATGTATATGTGATGTATCTTGCTTCTATAATTATTACTCATCAACTTCTCTTCCTACATTCTGATAGTAATATTTAACATGAGTAGAGATCCGTCAACAGATTTTCTTTATCTAATTTTTTCACCTACAGTCAGCAGGCAGCCTATTGACGAGGGGGAGCGTGTATACATTCGTGTTAATGTACATCGATATGTTTATTAGTTTGTAGAATTTTACCATACATTTAACCAGTTTTAAACCTAATTACTAATAATCTGTTTTGTAGTCTAAGTTCGCAAAGTATTTAGAGGAAACATTAATTTTGAAAACTGGTAAATTGAACGAAACTTTTGACCAGCTTAGGTAGGGCCCAAACTAGTCCCTGATTCACATTTTGAGAAATAATTTTTCTTGATATTTTCTGTTAATGTACATCAAGATTAAGATCAAGATTAAGAGATCATGATCATGCGTACAAATTCATATGATATTTCATTACTTTTAGTATTTATTATGTTAAAGCTTGTATGAGCTACACTTTCTTCAATCAAATAAAAAGTAAAAACGACAAAAGCGAATACTATAATACATTAGTTAGGAAGCATTATCAGTAGCATGTGAAACCAAGAAAAAAAAAAAAACACATTGCGGCTGTTTCGTAAAGTCTTATGTACCGAAAGAGGCTCCTTTCAGTGTTATTATAGTAACAGCCTTTCATATGAACACTTTGAAATTTAATGCATAGTTTAGCTTACGCCTTGTGGAAGCTCCGCCAGCCTTGCGCAGTGTTTGTGAACATTCTCTAAGCAATTGTCTACTGGTTTTGTATTTAATCACTGGTGTATCCGTCACTACATTAAGTATTTGTTACAAACGTGCAAGAAATTGTTTTTAGAAACTGAACAATTAGAGAGTCCATAATATTTAATCCCATCATGATTGAATGTCAAAATGATGAATATGATATATAAATTTATGTGAATGTAAAACTTACAACTCTTCCTCCTCCTCCATCTCGCTATCCCTATAAAATATTAAAAAAGGTATTGTAAATATATATAACAGATTAAATCAACTTACTATACACACAATTAAACCAGAAGCACGTTGCTCCTATTCTTCTCAAAATCAAACATGTTAAGTCTGACTGTGCCAGCAGAAGTGCCATAGGCATAACATTTCCGACCTTAGCCTAAAAAATGTTTGTCTATCTCTAGACTCCCATTTTATCCTCCTATTGAGCACTTTCGTAGCTATGCAAACCCATATTATATATATATATATATATATATATATATATCTGTCTCTTATTCCCTAACAAAAAAAAAAAATTGTCTGTAAATATTGATGTTTTTTTACTACTGTAACTGTAAAACATGATATCAGACACACCTACAGTTATTACCTATTTATTATAAAGATATTAGGAAATATTGTAACTATGTAAATTTATTATTAAAAATGACAATAAAACTAGGAAAACCAACAAATAAAGAAATTATGTTTCAATAAAAAAATAGATTAAAAACAACTAATTTGGAGCACAAAATGAAAACAAGAGTGTTATTGTAAACTATAACAACAACAACAATAATAATAACAGCAGTTATAATGATGATTTTAATTCTTCAGAAATTAACAATTCTGTAATTATTCTAAAAAAGGTTTGATAGGCATGTGCTAAAATTCCAAATCAGATAAAAATTGTAGAAGAAAGAGAATGCAAAAATAAAACAAAAAAAAATCAAAGATCATTGGAAAAATTCATCTGGATCCAATAATAAATATTGGGTAGTTGTTTCCTTTTAGATATCAATTAATATTTATAAAAAAGTATTAAGAAAAAACGTACTCACACGCTGTTTCGCTGATACTTTATCAGCATTCTCAAGTGAACTGTGATGTAATTACAGCCAT